ATTGATTTTAAGTTGTCATCTCCCATCATTGTTTACAGCACAAATGTAAATAACAGTTTTCCACATGTTTTCAAGCCCATAAAAAGAATCTCCTATATTATTATTTCAATTTTCACTTAGTAAATCATTAACCAATGTCAACATAACCACTAAATACTTATTGTTCTCCAGGATTTTAACCCTTTGAGTGGCACTTTGTTCACATGTTGCTGTGTGTTTAAAAAACCCCACAAAAATTCACATTTTTAACATATTAACTGCTAAGAGGATTTTTTTTCTTAGCACAGTCTGGGAAATGTCCATGATTAGTAACAAAATTGATTTTGATGCATTATTATTTCAATATCAGGACCTATAAGGACAAATATATCTGTATCAAAAAGTTTCCTTAAAATATTAGAGATTATTATATTCCACTTTCTTATAAAATGGCACCACTGTTATTTATTATGAAAAAAGGAGGTCAGAATTTTGTATTTTTAAATTGTCACCCTCAGAAAACTTTTGTTAGGCTGCAATGCTCATTAATTTAGAAATTTTTTTAAAAAATTAAAAAATGTTAAAAACTGTTTCAATGGGCTTCAATGGAGACATGTTTATGTGTTTACGGTCCTTGGTGAAATTCTTTGCGTCCACTGTGTATTGTATACAAATAGTAATTTCAAAATTCTTCCCAAAATTCACACAAAATTCATGCCCCATGCATTAACCCAGTCAAAATTACCACTAACAAAGAAACAAATATGAATAAAATGGACAAATATGGACCATCAAACCAGTGTAAAACCTTTAAGTCTGTCACTTCTGTTACTCATCGTTTGTCGGATCCCAAAAATGACTTACCTCATTTTCCTGAGTGGGTCAAAGACATGCAAACGCACACAAGGAGTAAAAATTCATCATCATTTTTAATTTTACAGTCACAATCATCTTTTCTTTCCAGTGTCTTAAAACCATAAAAAATAAATATACATTATGTTACAAAACATTTCCAGTGTCTCGGATCATACAAAAAAAACAAAAACAAAAACAAGGACATTTATCAACAGTACTGATTACATGAGGGCAAAAACACTGGGAGTGTACAGTATGGAAGGTATAAAGGCATTCAGTGGGTGGTAAACATCTTGAGTTTCCGTGTACTAGCTGCAGAATACATTAGAGTTGGTGTCATTTGGACTTTAACTTTTAAATTAAAAATGTTATTAAAACACATGAACTCCATCACTCATTCGGTGCCTATGCTGAAAAGAGATTAAAAGAATTTGGGGGTAAAAAACTGAGTTAAACTGAACTGAGCCCAACACTAATCTGTTTGTTTCCTGTGACTTTGGTGTGTGTTGCAGCGGACGAAGGTGTAGGACGGACACTGGAAAAGAAGGCTTCGTAGTGCTCAGACTGAAAAACAGGAGGAATTCGTCTCTATTCCACAAAATTAATGTTCATGTAGGCTTTATGTGAGCAAATCAATGTTCATGTAGGCCCTATGTGAGCATGCACTCAACGGCAGCAGGAGTCAGAGTGTGAACCGTAAGGCCTCGGTCCAGGACGAAGACACTCGTGTTCTCTATCAAACCAGCATAGGAAGTGATTTTCACAACTGTGTTCCCAGGCAAATTTTATTTTTTATTTTTTACTGTAGAAACTCGTCCTTTGCTGAAATACAAAATAGATCATTTTTTCTTCTTCACCTTTAACATTATCTACATATTAATTACACTCTAAATACACTGCACTGAGCGGCTGCGCGAGCCTTCGTTTGAGTTTTAAAAAATGTAAAAAAAAATCAGAAAAGAGCACTTGGTGGGTGACGGCGCCGTCCAGCATCGAGTTCAAAAGTCGCTGAGAGCGGGTTGTGTCTTGACGGCTCGTAGGGACTTGTAGTCCTTGAAATCCTTTTGGACTACAAATGAAACTGTACCAGCTTGTGTAGGTTCAGTGATTGTACATCTGCCTGTCTTCCAATGAACCCCCCACAGGCTCCTCGAACCCACCGCGGAGGAGCTTGCAATGCATCCTGGGGGCGTTCTTCATCTCTCACGTCTCCTTTAGTGGTTTTTGGCACACGTGGCTCCGCTGTGTCGTCTCTCGGTGCAGTCCAACACAGCTTTCCCTTTATTATTTCTCACATCTTTCCATAATCTCTGCTTATTTTCATGTCTGAGGCAGTCCTAAAGTCTGCAATTAATACTGCTCTCTCCGGAGAGATGAAACATGAGAGGAGGGGTTGGATGGACAGCGCCCCTCCACCACCTGTCCGTCCATCGTTCTTTTATTCCTCCGCTCTTGGCTTTCCTTCTCTTTTTCCCAGCAGGTTCTTCGGCTCCTCCTCTCACAAGGGCAGGCTGGTCTGGGTTTTCCTAACAGGTCAGATCGAAGTCTCGTTACTGCCGCTGTTCACGGAGGGGATGCAGGGAGGGAGACAGGAGGGACATGCGGGGTAAAAACAAAACGTTAGTGCAGGGATGCAGGGAGGCATCATGCAGCTGTTCAGCAGGACGGTCATGTTATTTCATGCTATAGTTAAACAAAGAGTTTGACTTGAAGGGAAATGTGAACATATGGTTTTCTGCTAAGAATAGGATGAGAACTTATTCTCAACTTATTCTCAGCAAGAACGACAAAGCGTGCATTTCCCAGAATGTCAAACTGTTGCTTTAACTATGGATTCTGTTACGATACATGCAGTGTAGCATCAGTTTGGCCAACTGGTGCTTGTCATTTAGGCTCTTTTTTTTCTCCAAAAAAAGTCCCTTTTAAACAGATTCTAAATTACTTTTCAACGCTCTGAACCCCAACTGATACATAAAGTCCTGTACATCCATGGAAACAGCTCAAACATGGAAGTAGAGGGAACTCAATGATGTTTTTTGTGCAGGATTACAGATTTATAATGATATAAATTGCAAAAAAGGGAAAAATTGAAGTTGAATTTCCTGAATTATTTGTTATCTAAAAATTTGAAAAACCTAGAATCGACACGTGCAACATTTTTCCAAGTGTACATAGGTGTTACTGGTGCTGGAAAAAACATATATGATATTTTACTACTTAAATATTAAACTTGTTTTTTACACTTTAGTGCTTTGTGTAAACACTGCCTGCAGTTCAACCCAGTTCAGAGAAAAATTCCCAGAATTTTTGCAATTTGATTGTTGGACGTAGCTGAGTCAGTACAAGCTTCACGGTTGTGCCAATGTATGAAGAATTTTTTGTTTTTAACAGAATCTGGTTTA